GGTAGTCTTGAACTGCTGAACTTGTGGTTAGCATTTGTCTCCAGAAAGAAAACCAAACTTGCTGCCATCAAATCAGTTCTGCCTCGTAGAACTGTTCTGCCGATGGAGGCCGGGCTGTGTAGCAGCTTCTGCAGCGGACCACTATGCACGAGGGGAGGGAGAGGAGGCGTTCTACTTCCATGAACAGTTCGTCTCTGAACACCTAGTATGTTATGTACACTCACTGGAAACATAACAGGACCTTATTTAAAAACAAGACTCAGCAGGATAGGTGGCTCCTAGATCAAAAACAAATTAGGGTGTGTTGGGGGGCGGGGGGTGGGTTAGGGGGTAGGGTTACAGTCTTGGAAGCCTTCAGGGGTAGGTCCCCTCTTCCCTGTAGTCACTACTGAGTATTCAGAAACCAATGTCCTGCCCTGGAGAAGTGTGAAACTGAGTTCAGGTGACGAGACAAGGACAGGTGACACCTGGCGTCAGATCGTACCTGGGTCATGTTCACGGTGGAAGCTCTGCACTGGGGGGCGCTGGGAACCTGCCTGTAGAAAGGCGGGTTCTTCCCTAGTCTCAAAAATAAAAACCAAACTCACTGCCATCGAGTCCACACTGACTTCCAAGACCGTAACTGTTATGAGAGTAGAAAGCCCTTCTTTCTCCTTCAGAGCCACTGGTAGTGCCCACTTAGCGGCCTGACAGATTGCAGCCTGAGGCATAACCACTATGCCACCAGGGCACCTCTCCTGGCCTCAATAAGTGGCATTTCACATCTCCCGGGATTCCAATTTGATGGGATGGGTCTGTACTGCCTTTTTCCTTTTTAAAAATAGCTGCATTATGGATTGGGTGAGTTTACGGAGCAGAGCATAATTTTACATCCAGCAATTCATACACATTCTGATTTGACTCATCCATTGCGATTTCTTCCACATACCATTGCTTACCGCACCTCTCCCCTCTGTTCCTGGTTCCCGCCTCCTTTCTGAATCCCCTGGACGTGATCCTTGGGTAAATGCCTCTCTCTGTATTGACTTTTTTCTTTGACAAAGGACATAGTCCAAGCAGTGCACTTTCCCCAGACACTGATCTCTGCAGGGACTCTAGAATCTTCAATAATGAGTGGCGACAGGGTCCTTAGTGAGAGTTTACACAGCCCTTGGCCCTCACCATGACTATCAGTGAGTTCAGACAAACAGATATGCTCAGTGTGGAGCCCACGTGCTTGGAGCTGTCTACATTGGTCCGTAGCACATTTCAGGAGGACCCTCTGCAGTCCAGGTATGCGACACACCCAGAGGTCTGACGGGGATTTGATCTCTGGAGTTGGCTGTGATCCACAGGCCGGCAGTTCAAAACCACCAGCTGCTCCACGGGAGAAAGATGGGGCTTGCTACTCCCTAATGGAGTTACATCCCAGAAACCCGCTGGGGCAGTCTACCCTGTTCTATAGGGCTGCAGTGAGTCGGCATCCCCTCACTGCAGGATGACAAGGAGGAATGGGGACAGTGCAGCACCTGGCCTCTGTGGGCAGCAATCGCTCTGCTCATGTGCGTGGCTGCTTTTTAAAAGCACAGTTTTATTGGCACTTAATCCACCTTTCACACAATTCAATAGTTCAATCATATCAAGAAGAATTGTACAATCATTACCCTTGTAATCATTTGTATTCGTTACAATTACAATCTGTAATCAATTTCAGAACATTTTCTCTCTCCCCACCCCTGGTTAAACATGGTTAAACCGCCTTTACAATGAGTTGTGGAAATCACCTTTAGTTCTGACGCGTACTCCCCTCCCACCCTACTCCTGAAATCCCCTGTCCGGAGTGCTGCTTCTAAATGACTTCTGCTCTCTGCACTTGTGATGTGGGACTGGAGTTGGGAGTGCCCTGTTCTCCTGTAGAGAGAGCAGGGCTCAGAAAGAGACTCACAATCGCAGTCCTGGCAGGGCTGGCATTCAAGTGGTAAGCACTGGTCTCCATCCCTGGAGCCAAAGTTAGCTCATGTTAGCTCATGTCTAGGTACGTGGAGAATATGAAAGAGAAGTTTTGCCCTCTAGTTAATGTTGCAGGAGGTCCCAGGAGTAGTGTGCAGGAAAGAAAACAATGTATCTGTCCCCCCCCCCCCCCATTTAATGATGGCCAATCGTTTACGTTGCTCTGTGTCCGCGTTTCTCCGAGGAGGTAGCAGGAGGCAACAATGGCCCCTTCTGTTTTCTGGTCTTGTCCCCTTCCTGGGCCCTAGGGAAGGGCACTCTGCAGGGACCCAACAGAGGTCAGGCAGCAGAAAGGGAAAGAAGTGAGGGACCTGCCTGACAGACGCACAGGCTGTACCGCCAACTCTGAATGGTCGAGCAATGATGCAGGCATTTCGCTCAGGTTCTCAGTGAACCAGACTGATGGCTTCCACGCGCTGAGCTCCTGCCGTGCGCTGAGCACTGCGCTTCCTTCTTTAGGTGCACTTCATAGTGCATGTTCGGAGCATCCCCTGAAGAGGGTATTAGCAGCGGCTGCCGTTTTCCCTGTGAGAGGACCGATGAGCTATGAGTTTAAGTGCCTTGCAGACAGCTACAGCCCGGCTCGCTAGCCGCGTCGGCCACTTTGCCGCCTTGCCTCCCTACATTAAAACAAGACAAGACGTATACAGTCAAGCTGACTCCTTCTGACTCCTGGCAGCCGTGTGTGTGTGAACATTGGGAAACGTGATTTTCTGTGGCTTTGTCAGACCTTTTTCCTGAAGTGTCTCTGGGTGACTGTACTTCCAGCCTCTTTTTAAACACGTGAGCGTCACAGCCCACTGCTCGGGCATTCCATATCTGTATGCGCTTGCTGTCAATGCTTAGCAGCTGAGCACAGTCACTGTGCCACCAGGGAGCCTGATGTTTATACACAAAACCAGCTGCCACCCAGCCCATCGGTTCCGATTCATAGCCGCACTGGAGGCTAGAGTAGCACTGCTCCCTAAGGTTTCCGAAGCAGAAAATCTCTCTGGGAGGAGGTAGATGGTAGTCTTTCTCCCTCTGTGGCTGGTGGCTTTGAACCCATTATGCCACCAGGCCTCCACATTGATAGAGAGACATGAGGCAGAATTGATTAGAGGACAGTGAGTTTGGTTTTGGTTTGATTGCTAATCATCCAATAGTATTTAATGTGTTTACCGTCACTTAGCTTAAGGATTAAAAGCTTTTTAGTTTTTCTGAATGAAGTAGAAATTTGTCTTTTTTAAATATCATTTTCTCACCTGTTTAGGAGCCCGGTTGACAGTGTTTTGGGCTGCTAACTGCAAGGTCAGCAGTTTGAAACCACCACCCACTCTGGGAGAAAGATGAGGCTTTGTCCTCTGCAAAGATTTCCAGTCTAGGAAGCCCACGGGGCAGTTCTACCCTATAGGGGCGCTGTGTCAGAATTGACTCAGTGGCAGTGAGAGTTGGCAGTTCTATTTACTGCACGTAAGTCAAGTGTTCACCTACCACAGATTAAAATGTAGCTAAAAAAATTTTGTTTTATTTCCCTGAATGTAGTATATCCGGGATCAACCATAAGAAAATACTACAGAGATGGCAACTTTTGTAATTTGTAAAAGTAATTGAAATCTTGGGTTTAGAGTTTTGACATTCAGGAAGTGAAGCGTGGAAGAGTTATTTTCCGAGAGCTGGAAATGGGCCGTTGAGTGGTGGGGATTTGCAAAGGAGAGGGCACTTTGTACCAGCATCCAGGGCACACCACGGCCAATGATGTTTGCAGTTGACCAATGAGAAAACAGACCCCACCTGAAGCTAAGCATTCAGGCTTATGACGGGCAAAAAAGTGGCCTCAAAAGGCCAAGAGGGAGTGACCCTGCCCTGCAAGCACTGCCCTTTTACCCCTTGGCTACATGCCAGGGAGCGAGCTCCTCCCAGCCTTGCTTCACAGATGGGGAAACTGAGGCTCAGAGATGTTCAGTCCCTTGTCCAAGGTTGTGGAGCTGAGGATTTTATATGTAAACCCTTAGCAGTCTGTCACTTCATTGAATGGACTGGTGAGAGGTGGCAATTTCATCGTCCAACAAATTCCACATTGACAAGTATTTCTCTCTCGGGGGTCTGGAGAGATGGGCCTGTTTGCCTTTACCTGCCTGCTCCATGTGGGCTCAGAGAGAGCCCCTCACCGCCTGCTCGAGACAAATGACCGTGCTGGAGGAAGACTATAAAAACCTGTTTTGATCTGACAAAATTTACTATCTGTGTACCGTTGGGAGCAAAAACAAATTGCGGGCTGGTAAAATTTAGTGCTTATTTACAAACTTTTATTTCCTCTGGTTCTTCAAATTTTTACGTACAGAGAGGGCATCATGGTCAAATTTTCAGGCCCATTGGCAGCAGAAAATACGCAGCATGAACCAGGGACCCCCCAGTAACTGCCACCCGGGTGCAGTCAGTTGGCACGGAAACGGAATGGCTGGCTCGGCTTAACAGACAATATGAAGTTTTGAGGCAGAGAGCTCTTGCTGTGTTCACCCTCGGATTTGAAAAACAAAACTATAAACCAAAAACTCATTTGATTATGAAATTACAGGCACCTCAAACCGTCGGGTTTCAGTCGGTGGCTATTAGTAATACATGTTCTGTGCCCCACATCACTGTTTATTGAACACCGTCCTCCCTCCCTCCCTCCCTCCCTCCCTCCCAGGAGATCGGCATGGGCTGCATGTTCACTGCTCCTGCTTAGCCTCCCCTCTGACAGACTCCCTCTTGGCGCGCGGGCCACCTTTAGGGTCACCCCCGTATTCTTAGGATGCAGTTTTGATCTGTTTCATAAGAAGTCGCAGTGCCACTGCAGTCACCCCATTATCCAGCCACTGGCCTTTCGATTTCAAACACTGGGAAACGGAGCAGCTGTCTTGATAGGATCTTGGCTCTGTGTCATGCTTCCTGATCAACAAGCACCTCCACCTTCCGGTGCTACTTCCGCGCTGAGGAGGTGAAGTGAGTGGGCCAGGGTCAGAGAGCTGGTTATTGGCAGAGCTGCCCGGGGCCAGTCTCGTTCTGGGAGATCACGCTGCTGCCCGGATGCACCGTGGCACACTTGAGACCGATGCCCAGCCGTCATACACACAGTGACTCAACAGCCTCAGATCTTTAACCTCTGCCCTCCCAGATGTCGGTAAGCTCACACTACCCGCCAGTTGCGCTGGTCTTCTTTCTCAGTTCTAAAGTCCTGAGACTTTTAGCTAGCCATGGAAAGTGATAATACGCATGTTTTGGCCTAGAACTGAATGGATACGTGGCTTTAAACCACTCGCGGACATTCTTTTTATAATCATCCTATAATTATGATAGATGCACACCCGGTGCTATAAGTATTGGTTAGCGTGTAAATACCCTACGGATGCCAGCACAGAATGTCTTTTCAAGTAGTTCCGTACCTGTTTCCTCCTCGCTTACGGGAAGCCATAGAGGTGCGATGTCCATATGTTGGCGGAGGCGAGGTTGGTGACCTGCTCCCGGGACTCTTGGTGAGGGAGTCTCCAGGACCCCCCTGTAGCAGCTAGCCTTTGCCCATGTCTTTGTGTGGGGAGGCAGCATGGGGTGCATCTTACCCGGAGCCTGCGGGGTTGGTAGGCAGGGCGAGAACAGTACTCTGGATGAGCGGGGCAGAGTGAGGCAGGTGCCTGCTTCTCTGTTACCGTTTGCCCCGGCCCTGAAAGAAGGCGCTGCACTTAAAGTAGACCATGTCTTTGGCTCCTGGCTTACAGTGAACAAGATTGGAACTATTTTTTTTCTGTAACAGTTATATTGCCATCCAATCCACATATCATACAATTTAGTAGTTCATTCGTATTAAGCAGTGTTGTACACTCATCACCGCAGCCACTTGTAAAGGTCGGAATTTACATGGGACAGCTGGCTCTCACTCGCTGAAGCGGAAGAGTGCTCTGCAGGAGAACCCGGCCCGTGATGCCATTGCCCCCCAGAGAAGGGCACCCTGCTTGGAAAACAAATCTTCCTCAGATACGCAGCCGATGCCATGCTCAGCTTCAGCTAATTTATGCCATGCTCCTGCTTCACGATGATCAAAAGGACTAACGCTGTGGGCACTTGTGACGCTCTTTCAGGTCCAACTTCAAGCTTGTGGCTGTTAACTCAAAGCTGTATGCCATCGGTGGGCAGGCCGTGTCCAACATGGAGTGTTACAGCCCAGAGCAGGACTCGTGGAATTTTGTGGCGCCCTTACCGAGCCCTCTGGCTGAGTTCTCCGCGTGCGAGTGTAAGGGGAACATTTACGTCATTGGCGGATATACCACCAGAGGTAAGTTTGGGGGCTGAGTACATGCCGCTCCATGTGTGAGCTTCAGCAGCCTGGGAAGGACAGTAGGGCTGGGCCAGCAAGCCTGATGCTGTGTGCTGAACCCCGCATGTGGACGTCTCTGGGAGGGAAACAGCCCTGGGGGACAGAGGTGGTGTGGACATGAGAGACCTTGGATGACCTGCTGTAAGCATGAGAGTCGGATCAGGGTGCGGGGACAGAGGCTGTGAAATACATATGTTCTCTCTGCTTCTAGAAACCCGCTTTGTGGTTAGCCGCCTTGGGACTTGGCAGGTCCTGATTTGAACAGATGGCCCAGGTGTCTCTCAGCTGCTCTCCGAGGCTGGGTAGATCTGTGGAGGGCGACGATTACTTGGGTAACTCCCACCCTCACCCAAGGGGATGTAGTGCTTTTTAATTTTCTCCTTTCTCCAGCACAAGCATGTGAGATACAGGGGCCGGGAACATTCGTTTTCACATATGCAGGCAGAGGGACCTCTTTCCTGACCCGGGTGGAAGGCCGTGAGTGGTCTTCATTTTAGTTTGCAAACTGGACAATCATACGCTTCATCAGCGGGATGTATCCTGCTGTTCTTGGTAGGGAGGCATTTCACGCAGGGGGGATGCAAACAGCATGACCGTGTTAAGGAAGGGACTAGGGCACAGCCGAGAAGTCTAAGAGGTTTGCTCTGCCCTTTCTTCAAGCACTGAGTGGCCTCCAGCCTTTCTTCTAACTTACAGAAGAGCCACACCTGGACCCTTAGGACTTCTAGCTATGGCAGAGTTGTCGGGTCCGCTGGCTTCCGTAGGGAGAAGGAGAATCCAGCTTCACACGAGCTCAAGGCTGACTGCCACAGGCAGAAGTCAGACATGCCTCTCTCCGTTTCTGCCCTGTTCTGATACCACCTGGTCGGTCCTCCAGTGGCACTCAACTTCAGGCAGGGTCCCTGCACCACTTCTCTGGCTTGCTGCTTTCTTGGCAGTCAGGGGGATCTCTCTCTCTGCTTCTGAGATGAATCCCTTATGCCCAGAGGAACGGCGGAACTGACCACGGCCCGAGTTAGAATCCTTTATGTCTTCTTTGCATGGTCCCTTCAATCATGCGGTGTGCATTACAAATGGATTCAAGAACCATACGCAATTAATTCCACTTCACCACAACGTACATCTGACCATTTGTTTTAGATTTACGACAGCAGACTATTTCGATGAACAATTCTTAGAATACCTTTTAGAAAATGGTGGGAGGAGTATTAGTTTTCCTGGGGCTGCCCCGCATATTCCCACCAAGGTGGTGGTTATTACCAACCCGAATTTCTTCTGTCCCAGTTCTGGAGGGGTCTGCAGGATGATGGCTCCTCCGGAGCCTCGCGGCGGGGAAAATACCCTTCATTTCCAGTTTCAGCTTCTGGAGCCCCAGGGGCTCCCTGGCTGGCAGGTGCCTAACTCCAGTGTTGGCCCTACGTGTGTCTATGTCTTCTCTTCTGCTTTTAGAAGGACACTTGCCATTGGATTTCGGATCTGCCAGGGTTGCCCACGGGACCCTTGGTGGCAGAGAGTGAGCTACGAGTTGGATGGCTAACCACAGTTCAAAACCACCAGCCACTCCCTTGGAGAAAGATGAGGCTTTCTACGCCCCTAAGGAGTTACCAGTGTTTGAAATTCAAAGAGGTAGTTCCCCTCCGTCCTCTAGGGGCGCTGTGAGTCAGAAGTGCCTCGAAGGCGGTGAGTTTGGGTAATCCAGGATGCTCTCATTCTAAGACCCTAACTTAATTACGTACATCTGCAAAGAGCCCTTTTGCACATAAGGTCCCATTCCTGGGTTCTGGGGTTTAAGAAGGTGAACAATGTCATTGTGAGAGGCTACCATTCAACCCACTACAGGTGGTGCATGTGCATTTGTGCAATCTAACAGGTCCTTGACAAAGAGGACTGCGTTGGAAGTAGTCCCCTTTTGTTTTTGTTTGTTGTACGGAGCTATGTCCAGTAACCCTCCCCAGTGACTGGCGTAGTACCAGCTTTTGCCTTACAAACAATTGGGGAAAAAGACAGACAAACAAGAAAGAGAAAGACACCCATGAAACCCTGTGGTCACTCCAACGCTGTTTCACCTTCAGTGTTGGTGTTCGGGCCCCAGGGAGTGCAGTGCTGTGCGGTGAGCCCGCTCAGACTCTCAGGGCCCCGCGTGTGTCTGAGTAGACCCACACTCCAGAGGGTGTGCGGCCTGTGGTTTGCAGCCAAGCAAGTGAGCCACTGGTGCCACCCAGGGATTCAGCCAAGCAAGTGAGCCACTGGTGCCACCCGGGGATGCCAACTTCACCAGAGACTCCCTGTGTGTCATTCCTATGTGTATGTGTGCACGCTTTTCCAGGAAAGTCAATACTCACACTTACCGCTCTACGTTCTAAGAATTGGCATTCCTCCCAGCTTGAGCTCCACAGATGACCTCCTATGGCCTGGAAGAACATACCCACGGCCTTGACTTTCCTTTTAGCCAGCCAGCCCACTGCCCTCTAGTTGGTTCAGACTCAGGGAAACCCTCCCCGTATCTGGTACCCGAGACGGTAAATATTTACGGGAACAGACAGCCTCACCTTTTCCTATGGGCAGCGGGAGGGTTTGAACCACTGACCATGCAGTTAGCAACCCAATACCCAGGCCACAGCACCAGTGGGCAGGCTTGTCTTTTAACGGGGAGTTGTTAATCACTGGCAGGTGGCGCTGTATTCCAAAGAGAGGACCTGGTTGGTAGATTTCCTATGACCCTGGCTAAGTAAAGGTCCTTTCGATTGACCTGGAAAAGCCTGGTGTGTTTTCTAGCTTCACAGGCAGTTACTAATGTACGGTCTTCACTTGGGCCACCCACTGTGTTTTCGACCCCAAGCCAAAATACTCAAGATGGGAGGGTGGGGTGATGCGGATGGATGTGTGTTTGTGTAGGGGTTGAGAACAAGCCTTCTAAGACGAGAGGGAAGGGCACTTACGTGTTCTCCTCTGCTTGGGGCTCTTCCCATCGGCCCCCGATAGTTCTCTCGAAGAGAAGTCATCGTAATTGTAGAAAAAAAAAAAAAAGAAAAAACCCAATAAAATCACGATTTAAAGTTTGGTTCTTACCCTGCTGCCTGTTAGGCGAGACGTTTAAAACTCAGCAAATAATAGTTGGTAGCATTTGCAATGGCTGTTTGATGATTGTAATTATATGGCAGGCGCTGAAGATATGGAAAGAAATTCAGTAGAAAGTAAGAGTAACCACTAAAGCGAAGGAGGGTGATTTGTCAAACTACAGGATCGACTAAACGTAAAAAGGAAAGAAGAAACAAATCATTCAACCAACGCAAACCACCTCATGCTGGCGTGAGCGCGGGTGGGGTGAGGAGAGACACACGGACAGAAGACCCGGACAGACCTGCAGACCTGGAACTGAAAAATGCATTGAAGTTGTACTAGAATAAGGCCTTTGTTCCAGCCGTGGGAGGCCAGGTGACTAAGGAGCACTTTTGACAGATTCGTAACCAAACTCCCTTGAGCGATCTTCTGGAAAGAGCTTTATCACAGTAACTGCGATGGGAAAGAAACATGGGGAGGAATTGGTGCAGTGGGAATCAGGACAGGTCCTTAAAGCTGTAATAACTCAAATGTCTGCAGGCTTAGCGGGACCTGCCGCTGCACAGCCCGCAATCTCTTACCATCTCCCGCTCGGCCTTCCTCCTGTTAGCTGCCATCAGCCAGTCAGCCCCTGACTCAGGGCAACCCTCTCTGTGCCCCACAGAAAAGCATGCTGCCTGCTCCTGTGCTGTTCCCATGGTAGGTTGGGGATTGGACTGTTGTCCTCCCTAGGACTTTCACAGACGGATTTGTCAGAAGTACATCACGAGGCCTTTCTTCCTAGTTTGTCATTGTCCAGAGGCTCCCCCGAAACCTGTTCAGCATCAGCAACACGCAGCCCTCCACCAACGGGGGGGTGGATTCTCATGAAGTGCATTGGCTGGAAATGAAACCTGGACCTTGTGCATAGAAGGCAAAACTCCGCTGCCGAACCACCGTTTCCTCCGTTCTCTAAGTCAGGGAGCTTCATCCCTCTAGTGGCTGTAGGTCTGTAGGTGCTGCTGGCTGGTGGGAGCGGGAAGCCTGGAGAAAGTGAGCTAGCTCTCTGCTCTCACGTGCACGAGTTGTGCTCTCATTCTTAAGCTGAGCTGTCTCCCCCACTGATAGATATTTTTTCTCAATTATTTTATTGGAAGCTATTACAGCTATCATACATCCCATAGTTAAGTCATCCCCACGGATAGGTTTTGTTTTGTCATTTAAACAGCAGCAACAACAAACAAAAGGGATGTGCTTTCTGATAACTCGACTTGTTGGTTTTTTCCCTCTTACTGCAGAGACTAAACATTGTGCTTTTCTTACCTGGAGGAGAACAGGAAGGAAAAGCAGCAGGAAAAAAGAAAGGGCGCTCGAGATTCTAAAATCCTCCAGAGCGTAGGCAGCAGTTTCCCTTAAAGAAATGGCTATTCTTGTAAAAGAGTGTCAGAGTAGGCTCACCTTCGATGTGATTTTTATCCACACAATCAGGGCCATCTCTTGTGACCTGGAGAGAGGAGAGCAGGGCAGGCCCTTGTGTCTCTGTCTTGTCACCCGTGGGAAACACAGTGGTCAGACGAGTCTATGACTGGCTAGAAGCCAGAGGTGAGGCTTGCTTTGCATTTCTCCACATTTGTCACTGTGTGGCCTGCCTTGGAGATCTGCTTCGCACCCTGGGCATGGTCCTTAAGATCAGCGACCAAGACAACATGCTCTTAGATCAGGGGTCCTCAAACTACAGCCCACGGGCCACATGCGGGCCCCGCCGAGGACATTTATCCGGCCCGCCGGGTGTTTTTGCCCCGTTTTGGTTTTTTACTTCAAAATAAGGTATGTGCAGTGTGCATAGGAATTTGTTTATAGTTTTTTTTTAAACTATAGTCCGACCATCCAGCGGTCTGAGGGACAGTGAACTGGCCCCGTTTAAAAAGTTTGAGGACCCCTCTCTTAAATGAACCCCTCAAACAATGGCTTTAATTCTCTAGCCATAAGCCAAACAAATCCCTTGATATTTTCTAAGGCTGTTCTTTTTATGTGTTGCCTTGGGGTTTCGCAAAGGTGTAAGGGTACCACGGAAGGTGGCAGG